TGTGTGTGTGTGTGTATATTAGTCGAAAATTGGCCACGCTTCAGGCTGCAAGGGATTTCAGCGCTGTTCCCGTGTGAAACGCTGCAGTCTGCAGCCCTCCGTGAGGAAGCAGACTGTGTCCGGGGACAGCCGTGGTCTGCAGCGCTCTGCGTCGTGCAGAGAACGCAGCGGGTCGAGAGGCGCAGCGCGAGTGGCCTGTGGGGCCGAGGCACCGCGAGGACCCTCTGCCCTCCTTCAGGACCCACCCCCTCGCTGCTGCCTCTGTTTTTATCCCCTTCTCTTAAGGCGCATCCTTCCTGTGCATTGGAGCGGTCGGGGTGGGCTTGAGCCACGACGGGGCCCGCGTGGCGCGTTGCTGCGTGTGCCCGCCTTTCGGCGTGTTTGGGGCGCAGCTAGGAGAAGCCTGGCGAGAGGAGAGGCGCGGGAAGGGTCCCGCAGAGCTGGGAGCGCAGCCAGGGACACAGCCGTGCTGTGAGATACCCTGAAAGCAGGGGACAGTTCAGCGCCGGGGGTACTCCTGTTGGTGCAGGTGTTTGGGAAGGGGCTCTCTGAGTCACCTAGACCTGTTGACTGGGGGAATCGGAGGGAAGAGAAGTGCTTTGATTTACAGCCTCTCAGGAAGCCCAGAGATCAGCAGCTTTCCTGGCCATGGGCTGAATCACACCCTGAGACTTTTTTTTTCTCATTTCACATAGATTTTTTAAAAATAATAAACATTTAAAATCCATTTATCCCCTCTGAATAGGGAAGAAGCAGCATGATCAAGATGAATTGCGTCCTGTTAACCGTCTGCCTTGTGCTGGCTGCTCTCTGTAGTCCGGGTGAGTAAAATGGAGCTTCCTTGCGGAGGCCGAGCTCGGGAGAGGTGTCTGAGCAGGGAAAATAACAAGAATGGCCCTTATTATTTAATACCGCCCTGTGGGATGGGAGTGACCTTACAGGCTTTCTGTAGCCGATTGTCTTTGGTTAGTGCAGAGAACTGGGTGCAGCATAACAGAGCTGCTGCCTAATGTAGCAACCGAGTGGTTCGTTTTGCTGGTAGAATACTGCATTCTTATAAACGGAAAATGTGTGTCTAGCACAAAAGAGAACTGGGTTCTGATAAAGGGTTGGAAATATCTGGTAAGTGTCTCGTTATTGTTGTTTTGAAAAAGGCATCTTTTAACATATGATAAAAGAAGAATAGGAATGTAGCGTTCCTGAGGGACATAACATTGCCAGTTTTAGCAGTGAAGTGACTGCATGCTCGGAAAATCTTGCTTTTGGAATGGGCAGTCTTGGCACAAGCGCTGGCAAGAGCTGATAAATCTCATCTCGAGTCTTCTGTTTAATAAACAGGGGGTGTTTTCTGCCAGTCAGAAACACAGAGTGTTGCTTATTTTTCTTCCAGTGCTGCTAATGTTTCCATACTTTCCCTTCAGTAAGGGTAAGACACTGTCTTCCTAGGTTATGCCCTAAGATGCTACCACTGTGACAACAGCCCTACGTTGTGCAAGACCAACAGCACCTGCCTGCCCACTGAAGATACTTGCCTGCAGATGAAATTCGGTATGTGCAGCAAGCCTGGCGTACCTTGAGATCAGCTTTCGTTGCCTGGGCACTTCTGGTCTCAACATAATACGCGTTCCTTATCCCCACTCGAACGCAGATTGTGGCTGCTTTTGAAGGTCATGCTTATAGTTTATTGATATGCTTTGACTGCGGAGAAACTGGTGATGATAACTTGCATAGCTGACTTACACCTGTGCAAATATATGCACAAATACCTGTATGTTCAGATAAAATGAAGAACTAAAGTAGCTGGAAAACAACAGGAGACAGCATTGATTTTAAACAACAGATTTTTTGCCTTAATTTGTCACATCTGAAAACATCCATCAAAAAAGGATAAAGCTTGTAACTCGAGCTTGCAGCTGGAGGCTCAGCCCGTGAACTTAAATGAGTAAAGCTAATTATTTTTTCCTGATGGTGAAGGCATTTCAGCACGCTTGTGAAGGGCATTGGGGGCACAGATAGAGTTACTGCTCTAGCTGTTAAGTAACATTTGACCTTTTTGTCCTGGTGACAGGAGTTTCGCTGGAAAAGAGACTCTACCAAGAAGAACTGGCAATGTACTGCATTTAATTAACATGCATGTTACTTTAGAAAGGCATCTCTTCAGAGGCAAGAAGTGAACAGGTCACAACTGCATAGTGAAAATAACTTCTTATGAATTTGATGTTAAATGTGATTATTTTGAAGTTAATATTAACATGGTGCTAATGTGAAAATAGATAAATACCTCAGCTGAAGGTAATTTCTAGGTGTGTAACTATAAAGTATTTACTTTTATCACCAGGAGCTTGGAGTATTTACATGTTATCTGAAAGTTAGATCATAAAATGTAGCAATTTTCACTAACTTCATTTGGATTGCGATTTACTCAACTTCTTGATTCAAATTTCAGAAGAGATTCTGAAATTAAGGCCTACCAGCTGGAGGTCCCTGACTGTCCAAGCCAAGCGACAGCTTGGCATCCTGCAAGGGTGTTTGCAGTGCGAAGTGGCAGACTGTTCTGGCAGGGGAATAAGCCCAAGCTTTAATGAAATGGACCTGCCAACTTGGAATACTGCATTACATCAATTCCTGCAGTTGTTGTCTTAGTGCAGGTCCCTTGACAGTGAAGTCATGAGTAAAGCAGAAGAGCCTCCTTTTTCCGGGGTTCCTGCTGTGCTGAAAGACTTGGCTGTGGAGATTCGGGTGGCAGGAACAGTAAGAGATGGGACCCCTCTGATGCCCAGGACAAGTCCTGATAAATGCCATGGCTCTGCATGAAGAACGGAGGCTTCCAACACTATCGAGCCACTAGCTCTGCCTGAAGAGCATCCTAAAGAGTTGGGGGTTTATTTTCTCTTGAGCCTAAATCTTGATGAAATGATCACCAAGCAAATGCTTTCCTGCATCCAGTTGTTGACCCTTGTCCTAACTGAGGATCAAGTACCTGAGGCATCAAACTAGGGACGAGTGGGGGACAAATTGGGGGAACATCTGGTGCTTTGGACAGGAAGGGAGAAAGGAGGGAGGATCTACCTACTCTCCAAGCTCTGTCTTCTATATATTTAGTGTGGAAAAGGAGCCAGTTAGATCCAATTGGACTTGCACAAAACCTGGCAGGAGTGAGTCCCCCTACTGTAGTCCGGGTTCCTCATAGAGGAACCCAGAGGTGGAGAGGTTCTCGGGCAGGACCCATCCTGCCTCCGAGTTGCTCCCTCAGCTTGAGTGTGAACTGCTGCCTCACTCCCACTAGGAATTTGTCATGTGTGGATAAGACCCTGAAGAGAGAGAGTACAGTGAAGTCAAGACCACAACTTTCTGTTGCCATTTGTTCTACCAAATGCCCAATGAAAGCAGGTTTGACAGCTTCTAAACAAGCTTTCACAGAAGCTAAAGCAAGGATGTGGCTGTTCAAGAGTGGCTCTTTCTCCATAGCCCAAACCCAACTACTTTCAATATTCTCTTAATCTGTTTATCTCCTAGGTAAATTGAGAACTTTCTCCTGCTGGAAGACATCCCAGTGCAACGCGAATGACATTGCTATGTTCTTTCAGCTGGATAATTTCGACTACTTCTGCTGCCAGCGAGACTTGTGCAACAAGAGCCCCACCACTGGGGTTAACCAGGCCGCCCTCAGCGTTGCTTCCGTAATCACGGTGCTATGGATGCTTCTCTAACAAGCCGGGCTTGCAAACTGCACTTTCAACATGAAATTGCACATCTTCTCACATTTTCCGTTCCTAACTGTTGACTAAAATGCTCCCTTACAGTGTTCAATTCTGTTCTTCAGGTTCTTTCTGTTACATTATTGTACGTGTTCCTCCCGGAGAGCTGCCTGTTGTGCTCAGCTGCAGGGAGTTTGGGTGTTTGGGCATGCCACACGCATGGGAAAAACAAAATGGTTCTGAAATAGTGTTATCTTGTGGACAACCTGGACAACTTGGGTGGGAGATGGAGCGAGGAGGAAATACTATAGGTTTTATACTGAAAAAAAAATGTAAATTCATAGTTTCATAAATATAAATTGCAATTATTTTTCGTTAAGATTTTTTTTTTATGCCACCCCGTTGCACACTGGGCAACCTATTTGCCTGCAGTATAAACTTATTGCACTGTTCATGGCTACTGCCAAAGTATTTAGCTTGAAGTTTTGCAGATTTTGTTCTTAACAGAATATGACTTTTTTTTCCCCCTTTTTATGAATGAATAATGGAACCTCATAAGTACTGTTAGTTTTGGAGAAAGCATCTCAAGTTCCTAAACCAAAAGCTAGGTAATGCTATAAGCAAGAAACACTCTTCCTCATTTTACATTTCTGTCAGCATGTAGACAACACCAAATAAGCTTTTGTAAACTTTTGTTTTCAATTTTGCTTATGGTTCCTCTTGTATTGAGGATTTAAGCTAAGCATGTGCTTTGCACTAAATATTTCTTGGTATAACTGAAATGTTCATAAAATGCTAAGGAATTGAATTGGCACATCTAGTTTATTTTCTGATGTACATAGCTCTTGGTTTTGTTGAAAACGAAGCCAGGAAATGTAACCCGTAAAGCTTCTACATTTCTACAGTGCTGCAAGTATTAAAAACTTGCTGCACTTTATATTTTGACTTTTCTGCAACTCTTAAGTGCCAACACAATATATATACATAAATATATATATAGCATGAAGGAAAACACTCAGTTTGTACGAGTTTTAGAGCTCAAATATTCTATATGTTGTTCTGATCCTTAGTGATGGAGAGAGACCTTTGATGTTTTAGTACTCAGAGACCCTCTCAATCGGGTCTAATGACAAATCTTCTGTTTCTCTCCTGGAGCTCTGGCATGCAGCATCTGCCTGTCCCTGCCGGAGCCCTGGAACGTTACCAGTGGCATTTTTTGCTTCTGAGCAGTTTTGCTTGTGCTATCCGGGCTTCGTGACACCAGCTCACTCGGCCATGACAAGAGCAGGGGGTACCGGGCTGTGTTACTTCAAATGCATTCTGTAATATGTCCCTTAGTCAAGCTTATTTTCACTGCAAAAACATCCTGGGCTCTGTCTAACACTCGGAAGGAAAGTTGTGATGTTTGATTAATAAAAGTGTGAAAAAGAAAATGTGCAAAGGGTGGTTATTTAGCAGGACCGTATTTACGTTGAGTGCCTTTCTGCTTGCATGGGAGGTGCATCCAGACTTCCCAGCTAAAACCTGTCCTAAGTGAAGGTCAGGCCTCTCTCGCGTCTTATCTGGATGTGGCTGCTGCGTACAGCCCGTTGCTTTTTGCAGAGTGGTCATTTGCTTTAAGGAGAGCTGTTATGCAGCAGTGAGTGTTTCTTAATGCAGGAAGAGCTGTTGAACAGTGATGGCTGCCTGAATATTGGCTTTTTGAGTGACTGGTTCCCTATCCCCGGCTCTGAGGTGCCCGTGCGGCTGGTTGTTTTTGCATTATACCTGCGATGCTCTACAGACATTTCTGTCTGTGCCCGGAGGCCTCTTTAACAGGCCTGTATGAAGTCATCTCCAAGTAACTGGTCACTTGTGGTACTGCCTTGCAGCGTATCCTTGGGAGGCCCTCGAACAGGCTCGTGACTGTTCACTTCCACGTACCTCCCCGTTCTAAGACAGTGATTGTTCTCGCCAGGCAACAATGGGGTTGATGTATACGATAATTCTCTCATGTGTTATTTATAATCTATCTAACTATGGCAGTGTTATTGCATGGGCTCACTGCATATCATTGGTTTAGTGCTCGATGCAACTTAAAACAGCCTTTTCAACCGCTTCGGCTAGAGGTGGTGATGAAACACTCGCTTTGGATTGCTCCTTTCTGACAGCTATTCGGGAGGCTGCTTTCTGGCAGGCACTGAGAACAAGCAGGCCTGGGGAGAACACCGCAGGATGTGGTTAAAATCAGAGGGACTGCAGGTTCAGCGGGTGGAGGCTGTATGTGGACGCGGCTGTATTTTTGTATTTGGATACAGGTTGTATTTGGACACGGCTGCTTCTTGTGGTGACTGCTGCAGGCCTAACGTTTGCTGAAAGCAGAAGCGGCGCAAACGCAGCTCCACCTTGTCCTCCAGCAGATGCAAGAGGAGGGCGACGCTGCGAGCGTGGTCGTTTGCAAGGGCGCAGGCCACAGCCTGTTTTTGTCGGAGGCTGCGAGCGCCGGGTTGTGCTGAAAGGCCTTGGGGCGCTCCGTGTCCGTGCAGCGCCGGCAGTGGGACGCGCAGGAGCCCCGAACACAGCGCCATTGTTCCCGGGCGCCTCAATGGCGCCTTGTGCGGCGCGGGCGCGCGGCGCTGGCGAGGCCGTGGCGCTCTGGCTGCAGCTCCCGGCCGCGCCGCTGCCATCCCGGCCCCGCAGCTCCACTCCCACGGCAGCCGCGCCGGGATGATGGGGCTCCTGGGGTGCTCCCGGGTACCGCCGGGCACGCCGGTGCCTGGCGTGAGCTGGGGAGGTGGGCGGCAAGGGCGCAGGCGCTGGTCACGCCGTCGCAGCCCAGCTCCCATTAAACCGGAGCTGGCCGGGTGCGGCAGGGCTGCAGTTCATGCCGTGCTCCCATTAGCTGCTGCAGGGGTGCCCGTGTGTGTCCGAGAACACCAGCCCCAGCTCCAGCGGTCGCAGTGCCTGGGAAGTCCGGGCCCTGATGAGGCACACCCAGCACCAGGACAACTGCAGCTGCATCTGCAAGGAATGAACACAATGTGCAACGTCTGGGTCACTCCAGGAGCGACACTGTCCAAGGCACCGCTGGAAAGCTACACTTCGCACATGGAAAATGGTTTTTTTTTTTTTCCTTTTTCTTTCCACAGAAGGAAAACTACGAAAGCTGTACAAAGCCTGCTGTCCGATGCAGAACATACAGCTTGCTGTTGTAACCTGTGAGTATGTTCCAGCTCCTACAGAACTGTAAGGGCTTTTGGTTTCTTCCCTTAGAGACTCGGGACTCCAATCTCCTCCTCTCCCTGAAAGCAGTTCACACCAGTTACACATTTGCACAGATTACACAGATTTTCAGATCTTCACTGAAGAAAATTCTTTATCATCTGCTGAGTCTGCTACAGCGCTCGACTCGGTTATAGTGCTTCACTTTTTTCCTAATACATAAAGCGACCTTTTTTGCTGAAATTAAAGCTGTTACCATCACAGCATACACTTTTTTTTTTTTTTTTTTTTTTTTTTTTTTCCCCTTTCTTTTTGCAGTCACATTTCTCTCCAGTTCAGGAACACGAGGAAACCACCAGCACTTTTCTCAGTCGTTCCGTGATGATGGTATCTAGTCTTTTAACACGTCCTTTCTTCTTGCTAGGCTGAGATTAGGCCACTTCCTTCCCTGAAGTGCAGTGCTCAGAACCCGGCACCACAGCCAGCCCCAACTTCACCCAAGTAGCTTCCTTTATCCATCCTCTCAGGGGCTTTTCCTTTCTTTCCTTTCCCCCCCCCCCTTTTTTTTTTTTCCATTTTTTTCTTTTTTTTTTTCTTTCTTACCCTTTAACCTTTACTTTTTCCCCCCCTCTTTTTACTCCTTGGCTTTCTTTTTCTTTTCTTTTTTTTTTTCTTTTCATTTTTTTTTCTGTTTTTTCTAATTCTTTTTTTTTTTTATTTTCTTGCTCATCCCTGGTTTTCTCTTTTGATTTTTTTCATTTTTTTCACCCCTGCTTTTCTTTTTCTCTTTTCTTTCCTCCCCCATTTTATGTTTTCCTCCATCTTTTCTAGTTTTTTTTCCTCTTTATTCACTCTTTTAATTTTACTTCGTTTTTAACCCCTTTTCCTTGTTTTCCCCATTTCTTCCCCCATTTTCCTCTTTTTTAAAAAATATTTTTCCTTCCCATTTTTTTCCCTCCGTTTTCCTTTTTCTTTTCTTTCTGCCATGGCAGCAAGTTTCCTTTTTTTTTTTTTTT